GAGGGGATGGACCGAAGACAGTGACCAAGCCATTTGTCTCGTGCCATCCCTCTCCAGCCTTCCACAAACTTTGGGCAGGGACACCATTTCTACCCCCTGGCTAATACCACTCCATGGACCCAACCTCTATGACTTGATCTCACTTCCCTTTAAACTCTGTTCTAGTTGTAGCCTTCACAGCCTCCTGCAGCAAGGAGTTCCACAGGTTGACTCTTTGCTTTGTGAAGAAGAACTTTCTGTTATTAGTTTGAAGCCTGCTACCCATTCCTTTCCTTTGGTGTCCTCTAGTCCTTCTATTATGGGAACTAATGGATAACTTTTCTTTATGCACCCTCTCCACACCACTCTTGCTTTTATAGACCTCTATCATATCCCCCCTCCGTCTCCTCTTCTCTAAGCTGAAAAGTCCCAGTCTCTTTAGCCTCTCTTCTTATGGGACCTGTTCCAAACCCCTGATCATTTTAGTTGCCCTCCCCTTGCCCAGCCTCTCTCTTCCCCTCTCCCACCTCTTTTTCCCAGTCTCCCCCAGTTTTGTTCAATAAAGAGAGATTCTATTTTTGACCACACGTGTCCTTTATTTTGTACATCAGGAAGGGGGGCTAGGGAAGGGTAAGTGGAAGGAGGTAAGGGAGGAATGGGGTACGCGCCTCCGATGGGGAGGACTGGGCTGGCTCTGAGGGCTTCTTGGGGTGGAAGTTCTCCTGTAGCCCCCCGATTACCCCCTCCCCCTGGATGGCAGCCTGTGGCAAGTGCAGCCGGGCTGATGGCCGAGTGCTGTGATGTTCCGCGTGTGGGCACTCAGAGCACTCCAAGCCAGGACTGCTTTGCAAGCGGGGAACCCTGAGAACTGTCTGTCCGGGGTGGGGGTCAGGTCCCTTTAAGCACAGCCCTTGGCTAGCCTGAGACAGCAGCTCCACACTCTAAGTCCTCATCTGATGCCCTGCTGACTTGGCTTCCGGCCATCCTTAACCTCTGCTCAGGGTCCACTCTGTGTGGACATGCTAGTTCGAATTAGCAAAACGCTAATTCGAACTAGTTTTTAAGTCTAGCTGCGCTAATTCGAATTAGCTTAGTTCGAATTAACTAATTCGAACTAAGTTAGTTCGAATTAGCGCTGTAGTGTAGACATATCCTGAGAGAGGAAGAAGGACTTGCAAATCTCTTCTCACAGAAGGGTAAGATTTTTTTCTTTTTTTAAATCAAGGACCTTAGAGCTTTTACTTGCCAGTTAAGACACTGAGGCTACATCTAGACAGTACTGTTAAATGGGGGAAAGAAACACAATTTGTGGTATGCAAATGGCTACTCCAAATTTTGGAATATCTACACAGCACCAAATTTTGGAAAAAAAGAGCTCTTTTGAGCCATTCCTTATACCTTGTAGAATGAGGTTTACAGGGATGGCAAAAAAGCACAAGCCATTCTTTCAAAAAAATGTTTGAAAAAATGGACGCGTTCCTTGGATGTGGCATTGCTTTTTCGGGATACCAGAGGTATCCCAAAAAAGCAATGCAGTCTAGTCGTAGCCTGATTCTGCAAGGTCTTTAAGCATATGGTGAACTTTAAGCATGTTAGTAGTCTCAGTGACTCCAGTGGAAATACCTATGTGCGTGCCATTAAGCATGTGCTTAAGTATAATGGTCAATTGCGGAAGAACTTTGTACGTGTTAGTTTAGGGGTGGTGAGGCCTGCATTTTTCCCCCCCTTTTCCCTATATCTGATGAGCCAGAAGCAAGTCTTTGAGAACATACGCCACTTAAGATAAGCATTGTTGCCAGTATAGCAAGAACAAGTATGAGATAAGGGTAAAGGGCAAGAACGCATAAACAATTCTGTTTACCCTAACGTACTAATCACGTAAACAGGGCCAAAGAACAAGAAGATCCAGATCAGACCCAATAGATAACTAACAGCTAAGCCCTACATCAGCATGTAATGAGTAAGCCCTGGAAATTTCCAAACTGCCAAACAAGGCAAGCAAAACTGTATATAAGGCTGCCTTAGAGCCTAGCAAATTGGACTTCACCGATGGGCTTTGGGTACCGGCACCTAGGAAGCTGAGATAACCTCCCACTTGGTCCACAGCCTACCCAGGGTCCTAGGCTTGCAGAAAGGGATGTAAGATATGCCGCTTCTTTGTTATGTTGTTCTTCCAGTTATGGGGCACAGCTGTTAGCTGTCAGGAAATAAACTACTTGTGTTTGACAGATACCTGTGTGGCGTATTTTGTACTTTAGGAACCCAGTGTCGGACCTTAGACTTACTCTGGACGGCTACATTAAGTAGCATACTTAATTGCGGCATTAAAGAAATAGATGATTACGCATGATGGGAAAAATGTCTCCTATTTTTTCACAAAAATAAAAGGTTCTTAAAAGTTAAGATAATATGTTTATTAACATTCTAGAAGTTTCTTTAATATACTCGTATTATAGAAACACCTCATTTCATATGCAGACCTAAAATGAACCCTGTTTCACTGCTCAGTATATCGTATAATGATATCAGTAAGAGAGGATTGTGAAGAAAACAGATTTTGGTAACAACATTAAGAGTGCCATCAAGAACAGATAGATACAATAAAACCATCCCATTCCTACACCCTGCATACTAATACAGGATGACCGTTGAACATTTCTTAAAGAATATGTCAGTATTGACTTAAATCTTATATTGGTTTTAAAAAGGGAGCCATGTCTACAGTTATCTGGAAACCCACACTAACACACCCAGAAAAAGCTCACCAGTGCATATTTAATTGAAT